AGAATAAGATACTAATTACTAATATATATATATATATATATATATATATATATTATTTGATATATGTGTGTATAAGTAAACCTTTGACATTGTTTTTCTCTACCCAATATAAATCTGAAAGAATTTTCAGAAAAATACTTACCTTTGAATTAGTATTTAATTTTTTGGTATTAATGGATCATTCGAATCAGTTCTATCATTTGCACGGCGAATTGAGTTTGATTTGAGGTCAAAATTAATTTTGACCCAATTGATAGATAAGACTCGATCGACCGGACTCAATGATTCAGTCCGATCCGGATTTGATGGAGTCGACTCGATGAAGCCTGGTCAATGATTTGGTGTTGAGCTGCACGTGCGCACAGATATGGCCAGCTCGACCCGACCCATCTTGCCTCTGCGGTCCGTTAGTGCATGAAATCCATGGGAGACGATCGTTGCGTACTGCGCCCAAAATAGACAACCTAATGGTCCGATCTCGATTCCAAACCGACCCCTCCCTCGCGTTCCATTCGCCCGACGCCTTCCGCGGACGACGAACGGCAATTCGGAAGCCGCAGGAAGGAGAGAAGGGATCCAAATCAGTAATAGGATATTTGTTCTTTTGTCGATCGTTTGGGATTTGATTTGATTTAGGTTGATTCTCGAGGAAGAGGGATCGGCTTTTCTTTAATCCCTTCCTTTGTTGTGTTCCGTGCGGCTCTTTTTATGATGCCCTGCTGTTCTTCGTCGCTTGGATCGCGGATTCGATCGTGGCTCCACGACTACGATTGCCTCCAGTCTGTCGCCGTCGTCCTCATCTACGTCCAAGTAAGCAATTCCGTATCGCTAGGGTTTCTCAGTTCTAACAACCGTTGATTGTGCGTAGTATATTTTGATTTATGTTCTTGTGATTTGGTTGGTTGTTTTGTCGGATTTTGATGAAAGCTTTTAGGATTAGATGTGGGGTTGTTTGAAGTTTCAATTTAGATTAGGTTTTCGTTATTTGTTACTAATTGATTTAACTGGCTGTTCACTGGATGAAGGTAGAAGGGATATAACGCTTTTTTTTCGTGTGGTCATTCTCGTGATGTTAGATTGGGTGTGCACTTGTCGGATCGCTTGGGGCCTTGTTCAATGGAGTGTTGCTGATCAATCTGGTGGTGGCGCTATTTGCTCTAGTTGCGATTGAGAGCAGTAGTCAGATCCTTGGGAGGACTTACGCGGTGCTTCTCGTTTTCTCTATCCTGCTTGACGTCGCGTGGTTCATACTTTTCTCCCACACGATATGGTGAGAGCCATATGGATATTTTGTAAAGCATGTTTGTATTTGGTAGTGATAATTCCGAGGTAAATGAATGAATTTAATTGTCACCCCTTGAATGTAAGGGAGGACATATCAACTTTTCTCTTGCTTGCTTGTTGTTGGAACATACATGTAGTCACGTCAAGATGGAAATTGAGGCTACTCAGGAGGCTAATTCTGTGTCAAAAGTGGTAACTTTCTTGTTAGGAACAAAGCCACCAAAAATATAAGATGAATTAGTTCGAAGAATGAGCCATCACCATGATTTCCTAGTGTGTGGTGCACAAAAAAGCTGCCAGAGGTTCTACTACCACAATAAGCACATTTGGTTCAGCCTCCAAGGGGGTTACATCTAGTTTTAATTCGTGGCCAAATTTAGTGAGGGGAAGTGGCAAGCTTATCCATCTTTTGGTTCAAAATTCTCTCATTCGGGGGATACATGTTGCCTTTAGAATCCTACTTTTTGATGCTGGGATTCTTCTACAAGTTGGGAAGTGATCCATTTATTGTCAATCAAGAAGTCGTCATTGGACATGGGTTGTGAGCTTTAAAATAATTTAAATCTGGAGTCCTTCGGTACTAGCATGAGTGGAAGCTTCTTTAAGATGCATTATGTTTGATCCCTGTAATTTACATGAATGAGATTATATATTGAATATCTTTTATGTTGTACAATTAGAAGCCTAATTTTCATCTGTTTCATATGCAACTTCAAATTTCTTGCTATATTCATATTGGATACATGTCAGATACAATATTTCTAGGATACTTGCTGGATACTTCCAGGAATTGTGCAATTAATTATCAAAAAGATCTTATACTTTTAGGATACTTGGGATATCGAACTTTGTTTTACTTGATTATTGACTTTTGTTTGTTGAAATGAATGTACGATTAAAGAGATTGCTTATATCTTAACAGTTAGGGACCAATATTTATTGAAATGGAAAGAATGTTCTCACTTCATTACTCATAAGTTCTTGCTACATTTTTTTATATTCTTGACATACTAGTTAAATGAATATAATATCATTTATGATGAGTAAGGTAGGGATGTTAGTTAATTATTATTTACAGTATGTGCTTTATACAATATGATGCTCATGCTTTTCTTGATGTAACATATGCCATTGTAGGAACATGACTCCTGATCAGAAGTTTGGGCCACTGTTTGTCTTCTCACTCAGGCTTGCTTTATGGATGGAGATCATTGGCTTTTCAGTGAGGTTTTTGTCTTCATTCTTATGGATTCAGATGTATAGACTGGGGGTTTCAACTGTGGACAGTACTATCCACCATGTAGATTACAGTGTGAGAAATAGCTTTGTGAACCCTTCAACACAAATAACTAGGCAGAACTCCACTTCTGATGAGATCTTGGGAGGTGCCATTTATGATCCGTCTTATTACTCCTCGCTTTTTGAGGATACTCAAGACAAACAATGCCTTCCTGAGGTATGCTCTGTTCATGTTTTCTGTATTCCTGTTTGTGGCCTCTTACATGGTCAGATTTAATCAAATTTCAAATTGAAGACTTTCATGTTTGCATATGTTTAATAGGACAGGTTCAGTAAACAAATTAAGTTGATTCATTCTGTTCCAGTGGTTGTGTCGCGCTGCATCTCATAGTAGTTTTTCTTAGGGAAAGAAAGCCTATACTGATTTTAATATAGTTGTCAAGTTCAACATAAGCTGCTGATTTGTTCTCATGATTGAAGTTTTGTAAGGTGGCTGTCAATTGTTTCACAAACATAAGTTTAATTTTTTAAAGAAGTTATCGCTAGTAGATTGGAACTTTGTTGATATTTTGGGGCTTTTGTAATGTATGGTAGCTTTATGTGATATGACCAAAGAATTGTTATGGAGTTTCTTTCTCTTACATCAACCTTGTCGAAATCTCAAGGCTTTTTGGGATCATTGTATCTCAGTCCATTGGAAATTTGAACTCTATCATGTTGCTACATTATAACTTTTCAGGCTTGACACTAAGATTGCTGATTGAGAGGTTCAGGGTTGTGAGGTTTGATTAAAGTGGATTGGCTGCCACCTAGGACTATAAAACATAAATTAGAACATCATGTAATGCTTCAGCAACAGCGATATTACTTGCATTACATGGAAGCAATCACATTGTCAATCAAATAACCGGAATGATGTTTAAATTCACAAGAATTACTGCTTTTGCATGTTCCAGTTACACACTTTGCAACTTCAAAGCTGCCTGTTGATAGTGTTGAACATTTATGCAAACGTCTGATCCAGCAAGGGCACAAAATGGAGATACAAGGAGCCACATAGTAGAAGAATATGTTCTAACATACAATATAATGAGGCACATAGGAGAAGAATAACTAAAATAATAAATTGATACCCTTGTTGTACTGTTGAAAAATTGTAAAAATTTGGAATTCATAAGCAGATAATTACAAAAAGACTAATGCTTTTATATATTTTGATATTATGATAGTATACTAGTGGAGTCTGATGAGTGTTGGGGTTACACACCAGAAGGTTTGTGTGTATGAATTTGAGAGTCCATGGAACACTTGTAAATATTTCTCAAGAGGGTCCTTTTTTTCCTAATTAATGCAAACTGTTAAAATCTTAGCTATTCCTTAAATACTAATTGATTTTGCTGTTGTGGAACATGTTTAGCTAATTTAGCTTAATTAGCAGTTTATCATGTATAAAACGAGCCACATAATTGGACATTATATTTCTTGAGAAACTATTGCAGCATGTACCATTACAACTGTATGGCGTTCAGATCCATGGCATTTTTTGATAGAATCGATCAAAAATCTGTAAGAGGAGATAATCCAGTAACACCGACCTAGATTATATTATAGGTGGATGACCACATTAGTTTGTTTTTCTTTTTAGTAATTCTATTTTTAATTTTTTCATACTCCACTTCATATATATAAGGTAATTTTACGTTCTTCTCTCAGTTCCATTTGTAAATCTATGGTCTCTAAACAACTAAACAATCAACTAAAATGGTTTTGGTGATAGGCCAGTCCTTTTGCTATTAAATTTGTGTGTTCTATAACTTAAGTTTTTCATGTTATAGAAAGAAAATATTCAGGATAGATCTTGCTACCAATGTGAGCTTTTCTTGCGTTTCCTCTATCGGTTGTTATTTAATAGTATTGGATATTATATAATACTTAGGGCTCTAAATTCATATTATACTGCAGAATATCCATCTCCATGTCTGACATTTTTATATAAAATCAATCATATTTATTGTCTAATTTTTGCTGGCAGGATGACAATCAGAATGTTCATGATAGTCACTCTTCTTCAGAAATTGAAGCTCCAAAACTTAAATCATGCATTAGTAGATCTTTTCAAGTCATAGATGTAAGTTCCTTTCTGAGAAATATTTCTTTATTCAGTCAATGAAGCAATAAATCTTTCCATATTACAGTCTGCATAAGAGGTGAAATTAAATTGTTTGATATCTAACTTGGGTGTCTCATGAATCACTGCCAAAATTCATAACGTTCTATAGACACCACTTTCTTCACTAAGGCTTGGTCTAGCTCATAAATTGGAACCAAGTTAGTTCTTACTTGTGTGGTCAAATTGTCAGTTTATGACTGATTTCTTTGTGTTTCTTTATCCTTGAAGAACTTATTCCTGCTTGCATTAGTTTTGTTTTGCTTTTATATTAGTGTTGCGCATATTCAGTTCCTAAAAGAGTTGTTTAAAGTGAAGTTTATTTTCACAGTGTAAGTAACTCTGAAGATTTACAAAGTTATGTATGATGAATAATAAAAATATAATACATTTGGTTGTGCTCCTGTTACAATTTCTGAATTGCAACTGATCAAAGGATGCAGTAAGCAAAATCAGTTCTCTCTCTCTCTCTCTCTCTCTCTCTCTCTCTCATGTTTCTCAGTTTGGTGAAAACATGAAATGAATTTGATAGAGAAAAAAAATGTCATTACCAAAAAGGTGGTACTGAGATCATTTGCCCTGTATGGGCAAATAGAATTTGGATGAATATTTTCTTAAATTCATAGAATGTAATATATTAATGAGAGATATTATTTCAATTTCAATTAGTTAGTAAAAAAATTTTATTGGTAAAGAATTTAAAATTTTCTTATGTTCCTTGTCAATGGAAGGAAAAATATTTATCAGAAAAGCAAATAATAATACAAATAATGAGAAATAGGACTGGATTCATCACTTTTTTTTTTTTTTTCATCTTTAACCCACCTGCATGCAAAGGTAGAAAGGATCTGTTGGATCCTTTGATTACTCAACCTGATATCAAAATTATAGCTTCACATTTTGGTAGAAAGGATCTGTTGGATCAGTATATGATACCACCGATCTATACCATCGGCATCATAATCATCGATTAAAATAATAAAAAATAAAAAATAAAAATAAATAATATTATACTGATAATGAGTTGTACAATTCAATAATGACTGGTAATGAGTTAGGACACATCGACTGGTATGTACCGATCTGACTGGTGTTTAAAATCTTGATCTAGTCAGTAACGAAAACACAGTAGAGATAATAAATGTCTGGTAGCTCATAGTGACAGTTAAGTTTTTTTTTTCCTTATGGATTAGTAGTCCTTTGTGCTGAGCTTTACATTTTTGCTATTTCCTTTTCTTCGTTGTGCTAACTAGTTTTGATTCTATATTATTTTTCTGCAGGTTGATAATGCTCTAAGAAAGCCCCTATTGCAATGATTCATTTCTATACATGATCGACCACATTTCAGCATTCATTTTACCCCTTTACTTTACAGTTGCCCCTTCTTTTTGGAACAATGGGCATTTTTCTGTTAGAACGCAAGCAGTCTCTTGCAAATACAGAGGTGCTGTACTATGGATACCTTGCCGAAACAAAGGAGTTGCAGCTGGTCCGTCAACCCTTAATCCTTTACAATCTCCAGAGGAACATTGGTGAAGCTTAATCGACATTATCAAGCATTAAGACAAGAACACTTATCAGAACGCAGATCAATCCATCAGAATCTTTTTGGCGGTGATAAAATCACTGGGAACACAGAAATGCACTTGGTCTCACCTTTAAGAACCCCCAGATTGAAGGTGACCTGTAAGTAGTTGTTGGGCCAACTTTTATGTGCATCGTCAGTGATGAACAATACTAAATGCTGGTGCTATGGAATTAGAAGTTTTGATTCAGTTGGAGCATGGGATAAGAGGTCTCAAAGTCTTTTCGTTGCTGATCCTCATTACTGTTCCAGCCAAATGTATCAAACAGAATGCCTACTCCACTCCTATGGCTGTACATAATGGAAATTGAAATGCTGCATGAGAGAACCACCTTAAGCTTTTTGTCTCTATACATGTCAGTAACTCGAAGGGTACACGAAATAGAGCAAATTGATGTGTGTTCCTTTTGTTATTGAAGACTTAGAAAGTCTCATCCGTTATAGTTATATATATATATATATATATATATATATATATATATATATGTATATATATATATATATATATATATATATATGTATGTATATATATATGTATATATATATATGTATACATATATATATGTATATATATATATATGTATGTATGTATGTATATATGTATATATATGTATGTATGTATGTATATATGTATATATATGTATGTATATATGTATATATGTATATGTATATGTGTATATGTGTATATGTATATATACATATATATTTATATACATATATATATATATATATATATATATATATATATATATATATATATATATATGTATATATGTGTGTGTGTGTGTGTGTGTGTGTGTGGAGGTTTTGATTATTTTAATCTGTGTGTGTGTGTGTGTGTGCAAATGTTGACAAAGTATGTGCTCATGTTGTGAAACTAAGGTATTGTGTTGTAATTTTGCCCACAAATCTAAACAAAAACTATTTTTATCCAATAATTTTTATTTTATTTTTCCTCTCTATCTTAACTATCAATATTAAATATTAAGTGCTATAAAAATAAACAAACAATGTTCTAAAAATGTGATGAGCTACCATAACTTGCACAGGCGTCCCAACTCGAGGCATGTTATTACGATGAATTTGTTTGATGAGTTGAAGTCGTTATTGCCATGTGCAATGGTTTCATTATAATGATTAGTCTTCGATCGATAATTTAGGCTCAATAAGTTAATGGGTCAGTGTCTCGTTCGATCATAACATGATAAGCGACTTTAGAACTATCCTAGTCTTAAACATAGAGGAAACAAGTATAAAATGACTATCCTAATATTAAAGAAATAGGTATAAAATAATTATTCATGGATAAAGCCACAAAGCATGAAGCTACCATTGCATTGGATCTCATATCCATCTTTCCAGAGAGATTAAAACATCAATTGTGTCTCACATAAAAAATGAGTAACAATTCATAATGATTTGAATTATGGACTTGATGAGTCTATTGTTATTAAATTAATTATATATATATATTCGATTAATGATTCAAGCTCAATGAGTTATATTGGATTATGATATTATATTTAGTGTTGCATCTTTGCTCGTATTTGAAGGAACGAAGGTTTGCCTTGGACTGCTATAAAATCGAAGGAACATATTAAGGTTAGTACTTGATTTTGCTCCGGAGTTTTATACTCTCTTGTTCCCTATCACAAAATAATATTATCAAGGCTCAGATCTTGATACGAAAAGGAAGCTTAATTTTTCTCATCTTACACTAAAAAAAAAATCATTTGTTCCATCAAGACTAGATAATGGAAGACATTCCACAGCAGTAGTGATCATGGTTTGCAGTATAGTACTATAGCACTGTAGCTCGGCACGCCTGAATATATCGCTCGGTACATCTGAGTGTACCGAGCGGTATACCGTATCATACCGGTATCAAGCCCAGGTCGAAACTCCGGTACAGTATGATATTACGAACCTTGGTAGAGATGATACTAGAAAGCTTCTGCTGCGGTGAAAGTAGTTTGCAGCATCTTCTCTGATGGCATCAAGGCTTCGTCTCGGTTCACTTTGTGACCAAGGTGGGTGTCAAAAACTGAGGTGAGCCATAATGTAGTCTCACATCATACTGCAGCCTGAACAAAGAGAACCAAGTGGAGGGGTGTCTGTAATTGCTGATTCTTTCTATGAAGCAAGAATGATTTTTTTCTTCTAAGCACACAAATAGAGATATATCTGCAATAACTTTTTTAACACATCAGTTCATATATATCTGCTGAGAAATACAGGAAATATTCCGGAACTCGTAATTTTCAGAAAGAATATTTGAAGTCACCTACACTGCACATCAAATAGCAAATGCCATGTAAGTTTTATGCTCAGGAAACCTGTGAGTTATGCAAAAATCCATTAACAGCTACAGTAACTGTAAAAACAGAGATTGCTTTGCTAAAAGAAGGATAAAACCTCGGTTATGCCTCGATAAAGTAAAACGGCACCCCACTATCTTTTCTCATAAATCAAGCTTATTAGCTGTGGCTGAGTTAGTCTTAACTACTACTCTCAGGATCATATATTTGTCAAGCAAGGGTCCTATGCTTGATCATGTATTCCAATGCCTGATGCATGACAAGATTTGATTCAACCAACCAACCATGCTCAGAGGCAGTGTGAGCAATACTACTTCCCTTTTCACTAGCCCATCAGTGATACAAAATCTCCACAGCCAAATTAAACCTTAACAGGTGGAGTAGATATTATAACCTTATAAACATCATGCAACTCTTATTGCCATCCCAACAGCAGGGCAAAGGGAATGCAGCTAGAAACAAAACAAGAGATGAAATAATCGAAGTACTAAAATTTATATCAAATGCTCATCTAGAGTGGGCTCCATACCTGTAAGGACTTTTGATCTGCAAAACACCAATGATTGTGTTCTGAGGCATCCATGAGTAGCAGCAGTCATTTTAATCTGAAACAGTTGCAAGAACACATACTGCTATTTGAGAGTATAACCATTGGAACCCACCGAGCAGTAGTGGTGGTGGCAACTCCAGGAAAGGATTACTTGATATGTAGCACACCTACAGCTTTAAGAATAATTGGTTCCCCATGGATTCTGACGGAGAACTTGGCATCTTCATATCATCATTATGTTGCAATTTCACACTTGGCAAGAAGTTATCAAGCCATAGCAGATGATAGAATAATAAATCTAATATAAATCTCCAAACTCTAGCAGGATCTACTAATTTAAAAGCTCATATAGCAAAAAGAGATATCTTAGAATGGAAATCCAATTCACCAGTAAGCAATTTGAGAAACAAGAAACCCAAGGATTCAACTTTAAACTAAATGCAGTCTTAATGGCATCTGTCAAAGAGGCAGCATAATGCAAGCATAGGAAGAACAGTTCACCAAAAGAAATTCTAATGTCGTGCATCAAAGAAAAGTAGAGATGAAACAGAAACTACAAAAGAGAAAGAAAATTACTGAATTCTAAGAGATTAGTTATTAATAATACTGTTTTGCTGATGTATGAGTAGTAAAGGGGAATCCAGTATTCCCCCAGAACATGTGGAACCACACAGCCCATATCTTTTATCTTCTTTGACAGAGGGAAGGGTATCTCTCATAGTCCATGTTTTTAACTGGTTATTTGCTATAGGAGAACAAGAAAAAGACCTAGTACTAGAGGATGCAGCATGTATTCCTGCCTACTTCTTGGTCCTACGCGCTTTCTTTGGCCCCCAAACCTCCATTCTTCCTGCCGGGCACCCGCAAGGAGAGCGAAAGATGAGGACTGTGCGTCCGTTGGGGGGTGCCATCTTCTTTAGCTCGGCCTCGAGTTCCTTTTGATCCCGTCCCAAGTTCAAGGGGCGCGTCCCAAATGCGCCCGTTGGCAGCGGCGGCAAGCACCTGACGCACGCCTCTGTCTCGAGCTGGATATCAAAGTCCACGGCTTTACGTAGACCCTTGCAGTAGGGATTGCCGCACTTCCTCATCTGGTAATTGAAGAACTCCCAGGCGGCGACCACGGTGACGAACATGAAAACCAATCCGGCGGCATAAGCGATGGGGGCGTCGTAGAGGACATCGCCCATGACGTCGATCGCGGCCGGCAGGAGGTCATACGCTTCCCGGAAGATCAACTTGATGTCGGGGACTGTGAGACCGGCGAGCGCTCCGAGGACCAAGAGCAGCATCACGATGTCGATGGCGGCAAAAGGGGTGAGCTCGCACAAGGGGTGGGACGGGGGGTTCAAAGACTTGCTCTTTCTCCTCGACGGACCACTCCGGTGATCGGAAGACGCCTGGGTGTTGGCCATGTGCCGGTGCTGCTCGAAGGTCCTGCAGAACTCGATCAAGCTCCGGCAATCCACCATCGCCGACCCAAATTACCCAGCGCCAGTCACACAAATCCTTCTCCCCGAAAGAGGGGAAATAATCTCAAAAGATGGAAACTTTATACGGATGCAGAAGCCGATATCAATAGATCAACAGCAGCAGCGATCGGCCGTTTCACAAGTCCGAACCAAATTCGTTTAGATCTCATAGACCGCGTGCTCGCTCGAATAACACGAATCCACCGAATTGGGTGGATCCATCGATCGGGGGCCAGATCTCCAAGGGGGCGGGCGACCGCAGGTGACCGGAGTCGAAGGGATCGATAGGGATAGAATATATCGCGGAATCGAGACTGAGGCGATCGATCAGAGGAGGGAGGATGAGATGGGGATGGAGTGGTGGTGGGTAACCGCTCGTGGCGAGTGCGGTGCCGACGGAGAAGAAGGAGCGTGCGAGGAAGGAAGGAATGACGAGTGGATCGCAGAGTCAATAAAAGCAAGCGATTATATTATATTATATATGTATAATATTATATGTTTATAATAGTCAAATTGAACATGTATTTCTAGAATATATACGTATACAAACACAGAATTAATACACGAGTACATACGCCTTAAGTTTTATTTTTATTGAATTAATAATTGAAAAATGGTATTTTACACGACCTATGTGTTTTAGATTTACAATTTTACCCTTCTAATGTTCGATATGTACTCGTCTTATTAGTATCCATCCAAAGGAGATGTTAATGACTTGTGGGTTATTTTAGATTTTGCAGGCATATAAACATTACTTAAACGGATAGTTTGCAGTTTTGACTCAATATTTTTAACTATTTAATTATCATTATATATATATATATATATAATTTTCTAATTTTGCATTTAGAATATCCAAATGAAAATATTTTATTAGCACATTAATTTTGCCTTTGTTAAAACCATGGTCCCCATGTAATATGGGTCCCACTTCATCCTGAATTAAGTCATAGTTGATGCTATTATTCAGTCATTAGACCAAAAAATAATTTTATGTTGGCATATGTGTATTTCAAATATTATTATGGTAATTTTTCATTCTACAATATTTTTTCATAAGAAAATCTCTCAGGGAGAA